GTATGGTTAGTGTGCAGTTTATTTGTAGTTTGCTTGACGTAATGATCAGTTGCATATGCTTTAGAAGTTTAGAACCACATAATTTTGGATAGTTTGAAACTTAAAACAAAGGTTCTTTCACGGCATGCTCTTATAAAGCTTTCCTCCGTCTGGCCCGAATCCGAATCCGATACTAGTATAGTGGAGTACCATATAGGACTGTTTTGTTGGATGGAATTAGTAAGAGTTTTTACGGTCCATGATTTGGATATTGGGCATGGGAATTTGATGTTCCAATCTTACCATTTTCTCCGAAGCCTTGTCACATAGCGGGGACCTCCCACAACTGCATACAAAAGAAAAGAACTGATCCATTTTTACGAGGAAAACCGGACCTAGAAACCACACAAGGCTCGGTTTATTAAAGAAAACTGAGTGAAAACCACCATAACTCCACGGGCTGTGGCCAGTGGCCACACCACCTACCTGTCGCCTATAAAATCTGATCTAGATTTTTTTTCCATCACTGTTTGGAGGGCATTTGTGAATATTTCTACACTGTGGAGTATATTCAAATTACATGGAAAAACTATCGATGGTGCCTAGTGCCAGTCTGCTACATATTTGGCTAGCAAACAATGCAACTTTTAAATTAAATTGATTGACGACAATGCAACTTTGCTAGTATTGACTAGCAAACGAAACAACTTTGTTAAAATGTTACAGTTGTTTTACTGTTGATAAACCAATGTGAATAATCTGCATGAATGTACAATGAGTTGATTTTCATGCTATCATTTATCCAAAATAATGGTCGAAATATTCTCCACCATTGCATGGCCGGCAACTGCAAGTATTTCTATGTTGAAGGTTATATTCAAAACAATTACATGGAAAAACTATTGTTGATCTTTAGTGCCAGTGCACATATTTGACAAGCAAACACTTCAACTTTGCTTCTTTGTGCTGTGTCATTTCCACCTGTTAGAATGTGCTACATTTTGATAAGGAAGAAAGTGAAGCTTTACCTTTATCCTTTTTTTAGAATATTATGTAGCATACTAACTCTACTGTTTTATACCAAAATCTCTATTAGGTACCTCAAAGGCTTTATAAACTAGATGAGCTTAAGCTAAATGGGATCGATACTTCTTCTTTCCTATCTCCTGTGGATCAGACTTTGGGATCAATTGAGAGAAATCTCCAAATTGCCGCGCTTCTTGGAGGGCTTTCTGTTTCATTTGCGTTTGAGCTTTCTCAACTCCAAGCTCTGCTTACGTTTGTAGGCCTATTATTCGTGTGGTCTGTTGATTTGGTGAGTTACTATTTATTTGACTACTCGTCCTTGTAGATCATCTGTTACATATCTTGTTCCTAACTATTTAATTGACTACTCGGCCTTGTGTATCATCTGTTACATGTCTTGTTGCTGACTGGCTGTTGAACTGTTACTATTCGCGTGGTGTTGTTATTTCGAAGCATATGCTTGGGCCATGCGTGCTTTCTGGCTACCTTGTTGCAGTTTTAAGCAACAACCTTTGATTTTTGTATGAGCAATTCATCTCTTAGAGGAAAACTCAATTATCAAAGGTAGTGAATAGATATTCTCTGCAGAACCGATCTGTTCATCTTGTTGGGTGCTTCTTTGGTGCCAATTAGCGTGAGTTTTTGTTCAATTTCGAACTAATTAAGCAGTCCTATTAGTTTGCGTGCATAAACATCCAGCATCATAGCTTCCTAGTATGTTTCTTGGAAGTATGGTCGATTCAGCTAAGTTTATACGTACTTGCAGCCATTTAACTGATTCTTAGGATCACATGGAGAAAAATCCATATAAAGTAATGTAGAACATTAGTGCGTATAAATTTCCCCACAGAAATGGTATAATCACTTGAGTCAACCATCTGTTGCTTGAACTTACATGGCTACAGCTTTCTAGATATATTACAATGGAGGGGCGAGAAACTTGGTTCTTGACACAATTGCTCACAGTCTCAGCGAGAAGTACCACAACAGAGTTATTGAGGTATACAAACTCAATTTCAATAACATTCCATTCTCGAACAAAATTTCAATAATATTCCATTCTTGAACAAACTTTCAATAATATGTCATTCTTGAACAATATGAGCAAACTGTTTGTATACTTTTTCAAGTGTGGTTTAGCAGACATAATCTAAACTATTAATATCCTACATATGGAATATGCGAAGCATGAAGCTGGTCACTTCTTGATAGCATACTTGCTTGGAGTGCTTCCGAAGGAATATACTATCACATCTTTAGATACACTTATGAAACAAGGATCATTGAACGTGCAAGCTGGGACAGCTTTCGTGGACTTTGAGTTTGTTGAAGAGGTTAGTTTTCTAACTCAATTCTTAATATTGTGATAAACTTTGAAGTGCTATTATTCTTAATTAACACACAATACCTACCTAGCATTTTTTGCTCCTTTATTCTACTAGATACACTTATCTCCCTCTCAGTCTTGAGTGTGCATGTCACACCTTCTAAACTATTGAATTTAGTAATAAATTTTATATTTATGCAATACTCTGTGGCTCCAGTGTCGCTGTCACTGTGACCAAGCAGTACAACTCTTCTGTTTCTACTAATGTGTCAAATCTAATTCTGTGCAATGAAAGAATCTGTTAACACTATTTGCTATTTAAGCAGTAGTCAGATTAGTGAAGGGTAGAAAACAGAGATCAATTATTCGTAATAATCTGCAGTCCCCAAATCTTGTACTCCCTTCATTCCATAATTTTTGTTGTGGTTTTAGTTCAAATTTGAGCTAAAACTATGACAAGAATTATGGAAAGGAGGGAGTATATTTCTCCATTCTTTTGTAATGTAAAAACATAATGTTTTATATCTCAGTACAGAGCGAGATGCTCTTCTTTTGCAATTTTATGATACATACAATTCGACTGAACATGGGTAAATGGACGAGCATAGATGAAATGTTTATTGTTAACCACCAACTACTTTGCTAATATAAAAAACGATTGTCTGCTACAGAAAGCCAGTATGGAATACCTGTTGCTCTGCTTTACATTTGTCGATATTTTGTGAGAGGATATTCC